TCTTCTGACTCCTGCGTCCAGCTGGCACAACTCAGGCACCCAAGTGTTCAGACACCGTTTTTTTTGAGTTCTACTTTGCTGCAGTTACTTATATTCAAAAGTCAAACCCAACATTAGCTAATCTCCAAACATTTATGTGTAAGGTGAACATTTTGCTTACATGGAAATGCAGGCAGAGGCATAATAGAGGTTCAGAACTGGAGTTGAAATTCAGGGACTCTAGCCTTCCAATTCTACCGCTTAGTTGGCCAAAATAAATGTCCTGCTCTCAGTATCTCTTAGACTTTATCAAATTTATTTTCACCCAGGATTACTGCTGTTTAATAAAGTGAAGAAAGTACGAGACAGGTAGTGTTTCCCAGAAAAAAGCACCAGATAACTGCAACATCACAGACGTCTGACAAGTATCTTTTTTTTAACTTCTGTAATAGGATGAGTCTGGCTACAGCTGATCAGCAGCCTTCAATATTTATATTTTAAAAATAAATAATGGATGTAAAATCTCAGGTAACAGTGAGCACTATGCCATGGTGAGAGGCAGTTAACCACCATTGTAGCTGCAATAATAATATGCATAGGGGAATTAGATTATAATAAACAAAAGGACCAAGTCACTGCTGAGAAGTGGGATGAGGTAAGTGGAATTTTTCTGTTGATGAGTTATTTGGCTTTGCATACACTGCTGAGCTCTGCCTATGAAATGATGTGGATGTTGAGTTACAAATTTGTCCTCAACAGCAAAAGAGTTCTGCTACATTGTGTGTAGAAAATTACTCTCAGCTGTCTTGCACCTTCTCTGTGTGCTCTCGCTCTGACTGAGTTGTCATGTCCTGTAGGTGCTGGTCCTCTAAACAGAACAGCAAAACAAATTGGTGATTTTGCACCTGATGCCACAGATGCGAAATGGTTTTCTCCTAAAACGTTTAACAGTAGATGGCAGCAGACACTGTGGGATGTTCTGCACCTCTCTAACCCAGCTGATTGTCCTTTTCTTTTAAAGGTTGTGTCATAACAAACAAACAAAGGTGTATCTTCCAGAACCTCCTTTTCCCCATGCTGAGGTAAGTAAACCATGGTCTTGCTGTTTGCTAAGATCATAGTGTGTTTGGGTTTCTGGAACACAGATCTATGTGGCTCTTGCTTTTCTGATGAACACTTCTACAGCTATTTAAGTTTTGTGTCATTATTCATGCAAGTTTGGGTTTTTTTCCTTTGCTTTCTGTGATTAATTTGGGAGCATGGGGGAGGAATGAATGATGGTGTTCCCTCCACTCAAAAATTATCATGATGTTTATTTCAGCATGTAACTTACATATGCTTGCCTGCTTTACTTCCCCCACAGAAGGCTATGTGGTGTACACATGGTTGACTCTTTGCTCTTATCAGACTGCAACCATGAATATTCTCTTTGTCCAAGCAGTTTATTTCAAAGTCTGTAAAACTAAGAGCTTGTTAACAGAGACAGCTTAGTCATCTCAGCATCTCCCTAGCTGAAATAGACACCATGTTGTCTGCTGCAGGAGAAATGGTATCTTGAAAGAGAGGTTTGATGTAAAAAAGCTTGCAGCACCGAGTGCCGTCTTCGACAATTTTAAATGAAATTACTTGAGCTAGCATCTTAGTGAAGCAAAGAATAATAAGGTTCCTGTCTTTGGGGGGGTCTCCCTGCAACCCATGTTGAGGGGATCTTCTCTGCAACAAAATAATAATTTAAGGGGAAGTTTTAGCCAACTAGACATTAAATAAACATAGCATAACTCATGCCTTCAAAGTTATCTCACATATCAAGAAAGGATGTGAACCAATAACAGTAAATGAGAGACTGGCTGGGAAGGGAAGAAACAGGACTGAGAAATTTAGCTAAATTCTGCTCCTGACAGACAGCCATTTGGGACATGCAGTCTCAGAAAACTGTCTTTTAGAACTCTTTGATGTGCAGAGTGGCAATTACAGGTTTAAAAGTCCAAAGATTAAATGTTTTTTCAGGAATTGTTTGGGTTTGGTTTTTTTCCTCTGAGACATTGAGGGACTTGTTCTGGAAATTGCCATTGCCCATCACATATATCACCTGTAGGTGCTTCAGAGGCATTGTTGGAAGTACACCTGACCAGAAGCTCTGACTCTTTCCAGATGGAAAGGGGGATAGAGCACCTCCTGTACAAAGACAGGTTAAGAAAGTTGGGGCTGTTCAGCCTGGAGAAGAGAAGGCTGCGTGGAGACCTCATAGCAGCCTTCCAGTATCTGAAGGATGCTGGAGAGGGACTCTTCATCAGGGACTGTACAGATAGACAAGAATACAAGACTCTGTAGCCATGCTGCTGGCTGTGCTTTCTAATTCCCCCTGAATCTCTGCTTTCTGGGATGTCCTTGTTTCAGTGGTTTCAGTGACAGCCTATGTTCTACCAAGTACATTGTTTCACATTTTAGTTCACAATATGCTCTGGAACTGGCAGGTTTAAATGAAAGCCCTTCCAAAAATAAGCCGAACATACAGCTGTCAAAGACTGGATTAATTGACCCATCTTATATGATGGGTCTTTGTGTTTATAGAGTGATAACTATGTCCTCTAATTTTTAGGACATTTTATATTCTCCAGAGGCCTGTTGATAATGAGATTTTGCCAAATTATTGTTTAGCTATTGAAACATTCCTCTGTGCTTCATGTGCACATCAAGGTAATTATCTAGGAAATGACTCACAGCAGTGGATAACAGATCAGTGGATAACAAAATGCAGTGCACAGAGGGAGTAACATGCCTGTTATAGGTACAGCCTTTGGTTGACAAGGCCAAATCATGCAGATCATGACCCACAAACCCTGGGACATATTATCATGAGATGCACAAACAACTTTATCCAGACCCATGGATATCTTTGACAGGAAGCCATGCTTAGGCTTCTTACATTTTTACCTAAGGGTTGCCTTAAATGGGCTGAATAACACAATACTGTGAATGCACATCCTTGTGGCTCACAGACTATGAAATGGCTGTAGCCTTTAGGCATTTCAGCACTGAGCTGCCATCTGAAGTAAGTACCATACATTTCCCCTCAATTCAATTAACTAAGATTGTGTGTTTGGGTGTTCACTTATGTATGCTGCTGTATAAACACTGGGAAGTAGAGTAAACACTGGGAAGTGGGAGTAACCTGGGCTACTCCCATTCCCTGATGGACAAAATGGGTCTCTTCATTGCTAATTCCTGATACATATTGGCTTGTCTTGCAAGATCAGTTTGTATGGTGGGAGGCAGCAGCCCTAGGCATACAGCTTTCAAAAGCCTGGCTTAGTAGCAAAACCAAAACAAAGTAATACCCAGGCAAAGAAAGTCTGAGGCTGCTATTTCATTTAGTGCTTTTCCTACGGTCATAAATCACTGAAGTTTAGACACGTGTGAGAACACCAGATCAGATTGCTTCTTTTTGTTCTGTAAGAGACATGGGCTGGTTTAGTTTAATTTTAAACAAAGCGTACTGAGATTTATATAGATGATTCACATTAAGACACCCATGCTCACCAACACAGTGCCAAGACGTCTATGTCAGGTCCCCAGTGCTCAGCACCTGCATTATATTCCTTGCTGCTGTCCTCTGAGGGACAGCTGCTGTCATTCTTTTATTCCTGTAATGCTCAGCCACCTCAGGCTGCACTCCAGTTTGAATGGTACCTACAGCTGGTTGCAGTTTAATGCTGTCCTACTGTTTCTAAGGCATGGGAGAGGAGCTGGGTTTCTTTTTTTTTCTATGAAATACAGAGTTGGAACGAACAGTGTAAATGGAAGGGCAAAACCTTGCAGCCAACAATGTATGTTTAACTCGCATGTGAAACATCTTATATAACCTTTTTTCAGTACAGTCTTTAACAAATGTAGTATTTATTCCCTGGCAGAAACCCTGTCGTGCCTGTGCCCAGAGTATCCACAGTAGGCTCAGCTGCTATGATGTTTTAGTGTAATTTTACCAAGCAGAATGGTCCTAACACAGACCTAGCCTGAATAACCTGCCCATGGCCATACCATCAGTCTAGGAGGGAGCAAGGACTTGGACTAAAGGCTTCCAGTTACTAATTTAGAACTTTTGTCAGCAGCCAGCCTGTTTGTCTTTGGTGAACACGCGCTTTCTAAATCTGTGAATCCACAACCTCACAATCAGGAGCTCTGCTTACTAGCACTTAAGGGAATTTTTAATGAGTGTCAGAAGCAGACATCGAATGATCATTTCTCATGGCCAGGTTTTTAGTGGAGAATTGCCTTACTTTTTTCAAAGTAATGGTAGGCTTTTGCAATGTAACCTAGACGGAAATTGCCCATCATGAAAAGACGTGCTTAGCTGCTCTGTTGTTGGAAGAAAATAGGGAATTACTCAGACATGCCTTTTAGTTATGAGCAAGCATTAATAACATGCCTGGCATGATACATCAGAAGAGGACAGGCCAGGAAATAAGCTTCTAATTATCTACAGAATAAGTCCAGCCCAGCATGCTGTCTGGTCCTGAAATTCAAGGTTCCTGTTTTTGTTGTATAAACAGTAAGATTTAAAAACAAACAAGAAAAAATAATCCCCCAAATTGTCGGTACAGTTTTTTGCAGCAATGAGTTCCAGTGGTGCCTGATGCGTAGTATAAAAGAGCATTTACTTCCTTTAATCAGTTATGATTACATTTCACTTAACAATCCCTTCATTATTGTTACAAGAGTAACAATACGAAAGTATCTTCATCTTCTCTACAACTATTTTCATTTTTAATTTTTTTCTCTATTATAAGTTGTTTAAAGCTTTTGCTGTCTCTTTGCATGGAATTTTCCAGGTTTATTTTTTATGTTACCTGTTTTGAACTCATTCCTTGTTCTGCTGTACTGAATAAAATCACACACACTGTTCATCTCTGCAGAGAACCCAAAACACTTCTACTTTTGGTGAGGCACTGGAATAGGCTGCCCAAGGAAGTTGTGAATGCTCCAACCCTGGAGGTGTTCAAGGCCAGATTGGACAGAGCCTTGGGCAACATAGTTTAGTGTGTGGTGTCCCTGCTTATGGCAGGGGGGTTGGAACTAGATGATCTTAAGGTCCTTTCCAACCCTAACTATTCTATGATACTACTCCCTCCTCATTACTTCCACTTTAATGTTGTAGTAGGTGTTCATCATGTTTCCTCCTGCATGGTAACTGCGTACAATTTTTTTGGGTGGCAGTTTATTTCCTAACATCCAGTCCAAGTGAACAGGGAATATATTTTCTTTCAGTTAGGAGCAAAGAATACAGGCTTAAGTGCTTTAGGCTTGTAGGGATGGATTTGGACATCAGTTCCTACTAGCGTTGATATGAATGAAGTGCCCAGATTCTTACACAAGCTTTTGAAGTCTCATCTGCAGCCTTTTAGCAGTGCACAGGTTAAAAGAGCTTCTTCTAAAAGGCATTTCTCTCTGATGACTGGGGTGAGAGTTGCTGTGACTCTGCTGGAGGGAGTTAGGATCTGGAGCAGGACTGCTGTACATTCCAGCCAGCAACTTCTCGGGAGAAAAACTGTGAAAGTGGAGAAATAGTTAGGGAAAGGATGGATCACAGTGTGGATGCCTCCCCTCAATTTTTCACCAGCATTTTCTGTGATGGGGAACAGAGAAGGAGCTCAATCAATCTGCAGTAACACTGGAAGCTTCTGCAGAGTTAAAAACTAGAATTCCCAAATGTTTGTGAATATAACAGGCTGGCCGAGGGAGGTGGTGGCTTTCACTTCCAAGGCCCTATATCAGTTATACTTTAGGATCAGCTGTCTAAACAGGCTTAGGTTTAAGCTCCACAATGCCTAGCTGAAATGCTGTGGAGCATAAATCCATAATTTGTTTTGTTTAGAAATGTTATTCTGGTATCCCAGAACCAACTTGCGGTATTTTACCAAATCCCTTGAGCACATGGGAATGTCCCATCCCAACACAGCCACAGCTGAGGAATCAGCCATCTTCCCAAGCATTTTAAAAGGAGCCATGGATTGTACACTCTGCACCATCCCTTTTGTGGAGGTAGAGACTTTATAAATGAATAGCTGGAATTGTTCTAGCAAGATGAAATGAGAAGTTTTCTGTCCTTTTCCTTTCTGCTTGATCTTTAAATAGATGATTTCAGGCTGTAAGATAAGTGAATCTAGACTCCTCTAAATGTCAGCAACAGAAAAATTTGAGAGGTAATTTATATTGATCATTATTTGTTAGTGGAGGAAGAATTTGGATTTACTGTCCTCTTGTTAAGGATTCTGCTAACAACATCTAAGAGAAATGGCTCTGAAAAGCCTCTTTTTCTGACTCAAAAAATAGCCAGGGCAGGAGCAATATTGATTCTGTAGTGTTAAATACTAGCATTTGTCGCCTTTGTCTTTGATCCCTTCTCCATATACCAGTTCTTGCGTAACACACTCGAAGCAAAAAATCCCTGGAGCCATGCGATTCTATAGTATTATGTTTTGTCTTATAGTATGATATAGAATTAGGCCCCTGTTAGTGTTGGTCTTACAAAGGGAGGTGAAGTAATAAACACATCACTCGTTCACTGATGAGAAACGTATTTGTTCAAAATTCTGGATCCAGAACACACACAACCAAAAACACACACAGAGCAAATAGCTGTGCATTTTGGCTCACTTCAATAAAGGGTACACAAAGGCTCTGGAGATTCATCCTGTTTATAGCAGTAGTTGCTGACCCTTTAAATCAAGTCTACTGCTTTAAAGGGATTCATAACCATTTGGGATTTAGGGAAAGCACAGCTCTCCTCAGTCTCGGTTCAGTACTTTACCATCCTCTATCTTTTAAGCTTTCAGTCAATAATGGTCATTTCTGTAGAATGATGCTCTGAATGTTGCTTCTGGCTTCCAGGAATCAGTCCCATTGTGAAAATACTGGTTAGCTAAATGCCAGGCATTGGTTTTAGCCCCATCTTCGTACAGGTTGAAGATCTGAACATGACACGGTAACAACTGTTGTGTTTATACAACCTGTCTTTATCTGTAGATATAAAAGACCTCTACAAATCACTACAAATTTAGCCCCCTTAATGATTTGTGAAATTTCCTGGACATGTTTTGCAAATTCAGCTCCATATATTTTTGACTGAGTAATCAGGAGAGACTTTGCTCTAAACACTAAAACCTACCAGCTGCTTTATCACTGGAGTGAACAGAATGCCTTTAAACTTGTTTCTGTAGCCTTTCACCCCTGCCAAGTCCAGCAGTGAGAATGAGAGATTGTTAGTATGGAGCTTCAGTAGACTTACAAGAAATGATCTCACAAGATAAAAAGAAAACATGGAAAAAAACCAAACACTACAATTCAGGACATGGTGCTGAGGATTCAGTATGTGTCCCTTTTCCCTCCTGAGTTAGCACCCCAGTTAGAAACAGTGCAGCACAGTGATGCGCTAGATGGTTTGTTGCTGGAAATAATAAATAATTTAAAATAAAAAGAATGACACAGTAAAAAACAAGATCCGAAAAACTGGATTAGAGATCCTTTGTCTCTCTACAAAGTAATAGGAAGGGATTTGAAGCTTCCATAGTGTTTTGAAGAGAATACAGCTTTAATGTTTATAAACAATGAACATTTGTATAGGTATAGTAGTGAAATAGGCTGTTAAGAATGCTTTTGCACAGCGTACTGCTCTCACACCTTAGTAAAGATTTAAATGCTTTGATTATATATCAGATACGTATATAATTCTAAGGAACCTGTGAAACAAGATGCTGGAATAACAGTTTGTGATTTTCAGAAGTGTGCTACATAGAATCATAGAATCACAGAATGGTTTGTGTCAGAAGAGACCTTAAGGACCATTCAGTTCCAACCCCTTGCCACAGGCAGGGACACCTTCCTCTAGACCAGGAAGCTCCAAGCCCCGTCCAACCTGACCTTGAACACTGCCAGGGATGAGGAAGCCACAGTTTCTCTGGGCAACCTGTGCCAGGGCCTCACCACCCTCATACGGAAGAACTTCTTTCTCATCTCAATTTCTCAATTTCCCCTCTGCAGTTTAAAGCCATTCCCCCTTGTCCTGTCCCTACAGGCCTTTGTCAAAAGTTCCTCTCCAGCTTTTCTGTAGACCCTCTTAAGGTATTTGAAGGCTGTAAAAATGCTTTTCGTTTATCTGTCTGGTGGTCTCTGACAAAGTTTTGCTCTGGAATGTCACATATCCCATTTAGTATATGAGGTAGAAATTATCCCTTTCTTCCCGTTTACCCAATTGAAACTGCATTTGCAACTTCAATTTTGAGGCTTTTGGCTTCATGGGACCATTTCCTACCCATACTTTTAAATGCCAGTATTTTATGAGATCAGCTTTGTTTTGCCCATTGTCTGCTAAACTGCAGTTTTTATTACTGAAGCTAAGTTTAGATTCTAAATATTGCACTCCAGATGTGTTAATCAGAAATCTTTGCCAGTCTTAATTGCAGAAATGTTTTCAAGATTCAGTGCATATTAACTGCCAGAACAGTTATCGGATGTTTTTTCCGAATTTCCCTTTTGCAGATTAAATAGGAATTTGGTATTAGTAGTAAGCTGCAAAAAGTTTAGTTCCCTGGGTAATTCCTCCATGATCCAAGGATTCACGTGGCAATAACGGGTTGTGTCCACCTGCAGTTTCCATCTTACATCAAACCCCAGAAGGAATCACACAATCCTGTGCAGGAAGGGACCTCAAGGATCATCTGGTCCAACCTTTCTAGGCAAAGCATGACCTAGACTAGGTGGCCCAGCACCCTGTCTAGTTGAATCTTAACAGTGTCCAGCATCGGGGAGCCCACCACTGGACAGATACCAATCCAGTTCCATTCTAGCCATTTAGGTATGGGACAGCAGTTACAAAGAGGACATGTGGGAAGTCAGATGCAAGATTGCAGCAAAATACTTGCTGTTAGGAACCTGAAGGAGACCAAACTCCAGGAAACAAAGGAGTGTGCAGCCAACTTTCTGTTACTGAAAGGGTATTGATGATAAGTTTGTACATTGTCTGTTCTAGCACCAAAGCGTATCTTCAGGTGATGGCAGTGAGAAGTTGAGTAGGGTTGATACTTTTGCTCAGTGATGCTAAATTCAATTAAGAACCTAATTGTGTAATAACCTTAAGTTCTGAAGTGCTTTGTTGTGCGTAAGTTGCTAAAAGGCTTAAAAGAAGCATTAGAATTCTCAGCTTTCTGTTCATTTCCATGTAGGCACACTATCTTGAGTTAGATCTACCATGGTAAAATGTAACAAACAAAAGAGAATCTGGAAAGATGAATTACATCTTTGAGAGACCAGAGGAGCTGCTTATCACAATGTTCTTTCTTAGTTCCTCTTTTGAAAATCAAGTATGTTACAGTGAAGAGCAATGTCCTGAGTAGCAGGTTTTTCTGCGAGAAAGGCGTGATACACACATCAAGTTATGACACATAGTGAAGAGCATTCTGTTTGCTAATTAGTCCTATCATCTGGGGTTCCATGGCACAACAGCCCCAGGAACGTGTTTACTGAGCCCTGCATATGGGAATTCTATATTCTGAGCCATGTTGCAACTCCTGGCAGGAGACAGCAAAGTATGGTGAGATCTTTGATGAACAGTCCCACCTCCTTTAAAAACCAGCTAACAAAGGAATTACTGTTCCTCTCTTTCACACTCTTTTATCACTCTTCATGTTCTTAGTTGTTCAGTGTGTGATTTTATTATGTTACATTGCATACTCTTTAAGAAAACTGTATTTACTGTTATTTTCAGGCTGAGGATGGTTACTTATACCTGCCAAGAAAATACTTGCAAAATATTGCATGTAAGTGCTTAGCAGACTAGTCTATTAAACTGGTTTTTAAGTTGAACCTTGCTTTGCAGAGTAGAAAACAGTGGCAGGAGAAAGAAAGCAAAATTCTTCCTCAAAAGCACCTTGATAAACTTCCCCACCTTAGTAAAGAAATCTGTTCCACCTGCCTGGTTGGTTAGACTCAGTTTGCCAGCTCTAATCACAAGTACTTGTTATTGCTTAGCTCATTGTTAGCAGTAGTTTCAGCAGTAGTTAAAGAAGAGCAAGTCAGTCTGTTCTTTCATATGGTTTTTCAGAAGACTTACCTTTGTGTGAACGCATTACACCAGTGAAACTCACAGCAACATACTGCTGAAGGCAAAATTGCCTGGTACTACTGTAGTGCAAGAAAACCAGGTTAAACATCAGTGCCCAGAGCTCTTTGTAGACCTGGCAAATAGGAAAAAGTAGCTTATTTTGAATTTGGCAGCTGAGCTTTCTGTTCACTCCAGGGAAGTCTAAGCAGGGAGTGTTGGCAGTTCTCTGTTACTGTACTGCTGTACCAAAGAAGTGAGAGCAAGGACTTGGAGGCACCTGGCCCCATACTCTCACTTCCTTTTCATAACATTTGGGGACAGTCATGACTAAATTTGTTGGAAAATCTAGGGGATATGCGGGAAGGGACTCAGTAATGAGTTAGAAATAAACTGTAGAATATTTATAATCCCATGTAAATAAACACACTGAACAGAGCAGAGGCATGAAAAGTTTGTAATGTCTGGATTTTTGTTTTTCTTTCAGCTCATTCAGACAAACAAATTGAAACATTATCCCAGCATCCATGGAGACTTCAGCAATGACTTCAAGCAGCCGTGTGTTGTTTTCACTGGACATCCTTCTCTTAGATTTGGGGATGTGGTTCATTTCATGGAGTTATGGGGGAAATCTAGCTTGAACACTGTTATATTCACAGGTAAGTAAAATGCAGATATCATTATCAAATTAACAAGAGGTTGTGCACTCCCGATAAGTGTGGCCACATCCTAGGGGCTTTACTCATTTGTTCTGGGGCAGAAGTTTATGACTTCAATGGGAGCTCATCTAAATTAAGACCCCAGGATTGACTGTAGGGAGAAATGTAATTATTGTGCCATTTAATTCATTTTAGTCCTGCAGAGCCAACCTTTGCCATGCGGAGCCCATTCCTGCCATTTCTAAGCAAAATCTCTGTTATGCACAGCAGTAAAATGCTTACAGGAAATTAATTTTTGTATTAAAAGTGGCTGGCTGCAAGTTAAACCCAGGCAAGAGCTAATTGGTGCTGTTCAGAAAGGAGGAACACTTCTCCATATTCCATTAGAATCACATACCTTTCCTCATCCATCCTCCTGCCCTTTCACCAAAACCTCAGGAAATCACAGTTTGTTTCCCATCACTCCTGACCTTCCAGGTAGTTTCACGAGATATGCCCTAATTAAAGTAATAGGTAACACTGCAATATAGATATGCATTGTCTTGGGAAAAGGGAATTCTGCTCTAGAATGGAGTCCAGCTGGGACTTCAATTAAAACCAGGGTGCATACACCCTTTGCTGGGTTGTTTTATTTCAGGAATCACTAGGAAATTGGTGGCATTAATCATGTTCTGAATGTACTACCCACCATCAGTGAGAGTGTCAGAAACTGGCCTCTACTGGCAAGAACTCTCATTTTGTGCCTTCTTGAAGGGAGAGGTAATTGACCTTTCCTTCTGTGAAATACAGAAAAAGAGGAGGCTTCTATTAAAACATGGTCCTGGAAAGTCGTTAAGGCATCTGAATGGCCATCGTAACAGATACATTAGGTCATGGTCTTTTGAGATTCACTCCAGTTTATACTTCAAATTAAACTGTAGGTGAGATCTGCTTTGGTTGTCATGACCCTGGAGTGCACAGTGATTCCAGATGCTTGTGATGGTTTTGTTTCCTAAATTCATCTATCCATGGCTTTTGGACTCTGTGTGTAGGCATATCCACTCAGTGATACGTTCCTAATTCTTTATGGCTGTCTCAGCTGGAACAAAGACACATGGTTTAGGGGTGGACTTGGCAGTGTTAGGTGTATGGTTGGACTCGACGATCTTAAGGTTCTTTTCCAATCTAAATGATTCTGTGATTAATGTCTACAGAAATTCCTAGCAGATTAAATTCTTCTGTTCTCAGTAACTCCAGTGGAAATCTGAAGCACCTCCATTGATGCCCAGGATTTATTTTATTTAATTATGTAGCTTCTCCTGTCGTAAGATGAATCTCTTGTGATTATGAAAGAATTGTGGTCCATTGAAGCAGTGTGTGATAGCAGATGATGTTCTAGCTTTTCCTGTGAAAGACTCCTAGCTTCTAGTAATTAGGACCTTTAAACTTCAGGCCATCCAGTGTTGTTAATAACACTGCTTGTTCAGTCTGCAGGAGATAGGTAGTCTCCACCTTGCCAATTTGTAATGTAAAAAGCAACTACCAGAGAATATAGACTAAAACAGCAGCTGCAGCCAATAGACAGGACACCAGCTGTGAGCAAGCAGTTGTGCTGCTCTGCTTGCTTGTGTTATCTGCAAATGTTACTGCTGAAGCAGTATTGAATAGATTATTGATTAAAAATATTGAGTACCACTAAGCCACAAAGAAATTCTAGAAGAAGACACAGTAGAAGGAAGTCTTCTTCTTGCTCTCTCTCCACTTACAACAGTGCTTTAAAAGCTAACTCCCTAGGAGATCTTAAAAGAGCTCATGCATGCCACATCAGTGCTGTACAGTGGAAGATTTTATAACACAGTAGTAAATCAGATATCTTGGAGAGTGAGGAAGCTAAATACCTGTAATTCTGTCAGAAAAAAGTCAGTATGTGTCCTTCACAAGCACTGTCTTCCGTCAGACAGGTGACTTTCAGTTTCTTGGTAGTTTCACGTCAGTTATTCCTGCATGTCACATGAGTTCACTGCGAAACTAGCTCAAGTTACATTTTTAATAAGTTCTAAATTTTCAAAGTCCTAGATTAGAATTCCTTCACTAGAATTTCTTATTTTTCCAAGGTTCTTACATTCCTAATAGTTGTTCAAACACACTACAGACTGGATGCCGTTTTGGATTCTTAGATCAAAAATTCCATGTCTGTACGTTATCTGAGCCTACAGATTCAAAACCACTTTGAATAGACTGGCATTCTCAGATACAAGCAGTCAAATCTCTGTGCCATCCACAACACCAGAGAGGCTGGAGAACCTCCCTTCTGATGACTTTTTAAACTTACTATTTGCGATTTCATTGTACATCTCTAGCAGAGGACCTCCCATGCCTGACTTAAGTTTTCTGATTTTCCCTGATAAGTTTTAAAATGTCTTCTGATTTAACCCTAATTGACCACTGATCATTCTTCACTGACTACCTTGTCAGTATTCCTAAACTTCTATTCATTGCAATTAAACTATACTGCCATTAGCTCCCATTTTCTACATTGATATTTTTAGGCTTTGTTTCACTGCCACTAACACATCTGCTTTTAACTAGCATGGCTTTTTGCCCACTATAATTTTTATTTCATGTTTGTGGATTCATGGCTTTTTGGGCATCTAGTAAGATGTTCTTGTACAACTATCATTTCTTGTTAATATTTCTCACTTTGATGTTCCCAGGCAGTTATTCTGACAGTTGCTTTAAACTTGGGAAAATTATCCCTTTGACAGTTCCAAACCTATGTATCATTGCCTGATGCTATATTCTGTTCTCACAGGGTAAATATAACCACATCATGATTGCTGGGACTTATCCAGCAGCAGATTTTTAGGCTAGCAATTAACTTGTCTTTATCAGTAGGATGAGGCCCGATACTGAATGTTGGATGCCGTGCTGGGTGCTGAACTTCCTGTGGTAAAGTTTTAAAGGCTTTTTTTCTTGCTGTCTACATGAGAAATCCAGCCAGTGCTCTCCTCAGGGTGATATAAAAATGCAGAAGATGGTTGTCTAAATCTAGACTGAAGTCTCTGTATTTAAATGTCCTTTATGTTCCTCCTTTTGCGCAGCATGAGCAGATACCAGAGAAATACCTCATCCTGTTTTCCAGCAAGGCTTGGTGCTTTGCAATTGCACTTTGCTCTGCAGGTTGCCCTTTGAGGCCCTGGGGTATGGAACAGTCTAGTAGATAAGTCTTTCATGTATCCCATTCTCTTTTTCTCATTTTGTACTATCCAGACTAATTCCAGTCTGTCTTTCTTTAGCATTCCCTTTATGTGATCTATCTCACAATTACCAGGTCAATAGTGATGGCATAAGTTTTTCCACACCATTAGTCAGTGGCCCCCAGAATCAAGTGGCTGCATGTATCCTACGCTGTGTTACCTGAGGCCTACATTTTCATTCACCAAAAAAAATAGTATTTCCCTTCAGTATTCTCAATGTTGTATTATTCTCTGTGTAAGTAAAAGCCCATTCAGTGCATGACTTTTCCCTGGCAAACCTCTAATCTGATTTCTAAAAGTCAATAATAAAAGTACAAACAGAAGTTGAGACTTTCTAGGTCTAATAAAGATAACAACTAATAAAGTTATCACAGCCTTATCTCCTTCTGAATAGCCCCTACCGCAGACAACCTTAACTTCATACTGGCCTGAACTAGAACTGCTCTGCTAGCATGATTGTAAAAAGCTCAAATGTCTGCCCTTCGACAGGAGGGCTCCCTGCAGGTTCTTTTGAGTCATATTAATATTTGGACCCTTGTTTTTCCACCAGTCTAAACCTGGCACTTTGTTTAAAAATACATAAAAAAATACGTATATATGCTGTAAGGGAAAAAAGGAGTTGGGAGGCAATGTGCCTGCAGCAGAGAACATCAGTACACCTTCATCAAGATATGATCTTTACGCTGCTTTTTTGTCACTGTGAAAAACAAGCTGACATTTGGGTTACCTTATGATACCCAAAATGTCTGTATCTTGCTTTCTTTTACAGGATCTGATTAAAAATTAAGAGATGATGTTTTTGTCTTCATTAAATTTGTTATAAAAATCATGCAATAATGTGTTCAAATGAAATAGTATTGCTCTGTTGCTTGATTAAGGTAAGATTAATTGTGGGCATAATTTTCATCAAATTAACTGAAAATAACGGGTGGGGGAAGGAAGAAAGGAAGAGAAATCTGTAACAGAATTAACACTGCGGAACAACAGTTTGTCTAGACTAGAATGTGGAATCAGAGAAGAATTGGGCCATCTTTGTTCTTAACAGGCATTCAATGTTTTCACAATTCTATTTTCAGAACCTGACTTCTCTTACTTGGATGCCCTGGCTCCTTACCAACCTTTGGCGATGAAATGTGTTTACTGTCCTATTGACACAAGACTGAATTTCATTCAGGTGTCTAAATTACTCAAAGAAGTTCAGGTAATGAATTTTCCGTTGCCTTTTCTTACGTTTCTTCACAAACCTGAGATCAGGTCAGTTGTGAACAACTCTCACATTAAATGACAGCAAAATCTAGACAACAGCCAGATGCTTTTTTCCATAAAAGAGCACATGGCATTGAGCTCTCCTTTGTCATCCTGCTCCAAAATGAGTATGACATGACTGCCAATCTGCACAGAGTGGCTAGAAGATCCCTAAAAGCTTAGATTGCAGAGCAAATGGTGTGTAGATTCCTTTTTTCCTTTTTAGGTATATATAGTCATAATAACCTTTTCCCTTAATTCTTTTTCTTGGTTGTATGAATAGACCTGACTGTGTCTAATATAAAGGGTACCAAGTGCTGAGTGTTCTCAACACCCTCATCCTCTGCTCTTTATCCTGCAGTTGATACTTGCTTTGGTCCTGGCACTGCTGTTATGGAGTTTCACTTTCACATTTCTTTGAAGTCCACTACTTTCCATTGTCAAAATCCAGAGTTCTATCTAGGAAGAAGATCAGAGCATTCATGCAGTCTGTGCTCTCACCCCTTGACTCTATTTTTAGTGCCTTCTCCTTGACCATACAGTTTGTTTCTACTGAAATTTGCTTTCTGACTCATGATATAATACCCATTTTTTCTTCCTGGCTGAGCTTTTCCCTTCATTCTGTCTTCAACTTGTTGAACACAAAAATACATATTCTTCGAAACCACTTAACAATGTCTGGATCATTTTATGTTCTTGTTCTGTGACCTGGCTTGTCATCACACAACTGATAGCAATTGCCACTGCCTGTTTTTTGGACAAGCATCTCCTTCCATGTTACTACTGATGTATAATGCTGTTTCCAGAACAGTTTGCAGAAACACTGTCTTGTCTTTTGGCTTCCTTATATCTTGCAGTGATCCTTGTGGCAACCAGCCTATTTATGCTTTGTTGATAAACTGATGACAGGTCATGAAAACTCAGTTTATTTTGCTAACTTTTTTGCAGCCGTGCATGTTGATACATCTGCCTCACTCCATGCCATTATATGATGGTCTCCACCTCTACTGTCATTTTCTTCCAGTATAGATGACAAGGATTTTGAAGAAAAAGCTATTGAATAGTCTTTCTTTTCTCCCTATGGCAGTTAACATGACTGCTGATACTGAAGTGGTGATTAAAGATACAAATGTAGGCCTTGTTACTTTGGACACTGTCATTTACAAAGCAAAAACTGCCCGCCCCTTAAGAGCTTGTTCCAATGCTGACTGGATCTTCTGGGTTGCATCTTTTGGATGTTGTTTTCATACAGATAAATTAGCTTGCTAACAACAACCTGCAATGGTTGTATTACCTCCTTAATGGTAATAATTACTGCTGTAGGGCAGCGCACAGGATCAACCAGACATTTTTGTAAGTCACCACACTCTTTTCCAGCCTCTCCACATTGTTTGCCCTGAGCAGTATACTCAACCACCACCCACCCAGTCTCATCGAACGGATCTGATGATAGACTGTCAGCCTCCACCAATGTCCTACCGCAGAGCAGAGGTGCTGACCCTTCCATACAAGCGGCGCTATGAGAAGATTGAAATCATGCCAGAAGTGAGTAACAAAAGTGGGGAAAAAGATGGTGGCTTCTTGCTCATATAGCCAAATTCAAGCTGTTGCTTCAGTGGCCTCTTTGACTGAAGGTATCTTGGGGCTTGATTTACTGTGGTCTATGGTCATGTAAAGCACTTCCTATCAAATGGATGGCTAAGAAAGAAGCATTTCTGAGGGAGAATTTCACTGTGTAAACTAAAGGGGAATTGTGGGCAAGCAAAAATATGTTCAGGTTAACTGTCCTGTGCAAGGATATATCGTGTCTCTCCTGTGAAGGTAGGCTGAGAGAGCTGGGCTTGTTCAGACTGGAGAAGAGAAGGCTCCAGGGAGACCCCAGAGCAGTTTCCAGTGTAGATCTTTGAGATCTACTCAAAGAATATACTTAAAATCAAGTGTTCCTCTTTGTGTGCATGCATTATCCAGCCTTGATGTGAACAAGTAGTTGACATGTTCTCCAATAGAGACAGGCTGAGAGAGCTGGGCTTGTTCAGCCTGGAGAAGAGAAGGCTCTGGGACAGCTTAGAGCAGCTTCCAGTGCCTAAACAGGGCAACCAGAAACCCGGAGAGGGACTTTAGACAAGGGCCTGTAGGGACAGGACAAGGGGGAATGGCTTTAAACTGACAGAAGGGAGATTGAAATGAGATCTTAGGAAGAAGTTGTTCCCTGTGAGGGTTCCCTCTGGGCAACCCTGGCACAGGTTGCCCAGAGAAGCTGTGGCTGCCCAATCCCTGGCAGTGTTCAAGGCCAGGTTGGACACAGGGGCTTGGAGCAACCTGGTTTAGTGGAAGGTGTCCCTGCCTTTGGCAGGGGGGTTGGAACTGGATAGTCTTTAAGGTCCCTTCTAACCCAAACCATTCAGTGATTCTTTGATACAAACCGAAGGGCAATCTCTGCTAGCCATCTGTGAGGCAAGCCAGTGATTTCCAGTTTAAATATGAGTAAATTGAGGCATTGCAGTTTGAATTAGTGGCCCAGGGCCATGGAAGGGATCCCAAGAATCTGAGAGTTTGTAGCCAGGAGTTGTCTTTCTCCTGCCCTAGCTGTACCTGCCATGAGAAATACCTTTTCCCCTGAGGAGCAGTATTCGGTCGTATGTTAAAGGCAGTAGTGAAATGACTTATTTGTATTACAGCAGTTTCAATAAACAGTTAATTCCTACAGACTGCTGAAGTCCAGCAGGTTAATTGGTTGCTTGTAGCCCTCTATGCTGTGGACTGCTTATTCTTGCAACATCTATTAATAATTTATTAACCCCATAAATCAAACATAAATGTGTCCATAATACAAAGGGTAACCCATATTTTAATAGACATGATCTTAAAATATTTTTTTGACAATCCAATCAGCACAAATGTGTCCTTGGATCAAAGGTCACAGTGGCATTTTACAAACAGGCATTACTGCCCTTTGGAAACTGTTGAATATGTAAGTACTTTTCATCAGAGAGTAGAGGAAGTGCCCTTAGTTAAGCCAAACATCAATACAAAACTGGTACTTCCCTAATAACATCCCTGAGCCAGTCTGCAACACCCATTCCTACCATTTCACGTGTGTCTGTTTTGTACATCAGTTCTGTTAGGAGCATGTCCAGCCCACTAGTTAGAGGGCTGCCAGAGACAAGGAGGGATTATTTAATTAGAAAATATACTTGGATGCAATTCCATCATGGCATGTATATTTAATTGTTTTGGAAATTTGCATATTTATTGGATCCTATTAAACCTAAGAGTATCAAAACGTGGCTTCCATTCACCAGCATGACCAAAGCAAATCTTACATTCTGAGTGCAGAGAGCCAGCACATGGCTTACCTATTATTTAGATTCCACTGAAGCTTTGGGTTGTCCCCTGAACTGTGAGGGTGTGAGTGAGCTTTTGTATGTGAGCCTATCCCTGGTGTCAGCCCTGTGAAGAGGGTGAATTCCAGCTTTCCCTGCAAACAGAATGCAAATTAGCACAGATGCTACAGATGAATATTCACCAACCCCTCAGACATTTTGAAGTTCCTATCAAGGGGGAGGGTTCTCTAAAAGCATGGCTGGTCTGTGGGAGCGGCAGGTTCAGTTTCTTGCTCTGTCAGAGTCTTCCTGTGTGATCAGCACAAAGTCTAAACAACAAAATGCAGCTCACATTGGAAAGGACACTAAAGACTGCATAGTTCCTTGCAAAGCTTATTAATCCAAAGGCTCATGTGGCTAGACTGCATCAGAAAACAAGTCAGTGTTTCTCTTGTTGGCTTAGCTGTTGGCAGCAAGATCCCTTACACTTGAGGCTCAAGAGGCCGTGTGGATTCAGGCTCATTGCCAGTTATTAATGTGAAAATGCTCACCATTTCTCAAACCCAATGTCCAGTAGTTTTTAGGTGTTGTCTGTCACTGAAATGAATGGATTCCTCCTATACCGCTAGGTAAAAGCAGTACGTAGAAATAAGAGCACTTCCCAAACTGCTGGGATGTTGGAGGGAAAATGCACTGTAGACAATGTGATGTTCACCAACCTGGGAACTGGCAGCAAATAGCACGTAGAAGATGAGAGCTAGTTTCTGTTGAATTCACTCTTAACTTTGGAGAGTTTGAGCAGAAAGCTGCACAGACAGGAATGTTGACAGAAATGTCCCTCTTTCCCTCTAACAAATAACATCAAATTCTATTCACCCAGGAGTCCTAATTTCAAAGCTATCTGTGCTCAGGGAGCAGAAACACTAAGTGATTTTCCACATCCAGGTATTCTCTCTGGTTCCAAAGCTGAACTTACCAACTTGCTGCAAAAATCTGCTTGGTATGTAGTGATACTACTGAAAAGACTTTAATACGATACAAAAAAATCGGTATACCAGATAATCTCTGAGACTTTCAGGAAAGCTGTTGTCCTTCCCCACTGGTGTTAGATATATAGTGTTTGCTTGCCTCTGGGAGTTCTTTGCGAGTTAGACCTTGCTAGGATTAGGAACCTGTTGGAGAAATAGCAATGCCAACTTTGTAGTGATCACAGACTGCGTCTCCAGGACAATCTCTATTTCAGCATGGCTTCATCACATCACTGTGGGAGGCCATTTTTTGCTTCCAGCTTGACCTGCAGAGCGGTGATAAAGCATGGGAGGGATGGTACATTGTTCCCCACGTTCTCTCTTACTTTGATCTTTGAGACTTAGCAGCATAGATGGTAACTGCTGCAAAGTGTCACTATGTCATCTCTCCTATTCTATGTAACCAGTCACAGCAGTCAATCCCAAGGATCGTTGTTTGGTTTTGAAATAAATGGGAGAAGATGTCTGTATTTCCTTTGATGCTAACCCCCCTAAATGCCTGAATATACAGGAATTTCTATACTGCAAGGAAAGGGCATTCCTTTCACATGGAGTACCACTAGCTCTGGAGTTCTGTGAAGGCCCAAGTGGCAATTGAAACGGGTGTTTTATAGCTCCTAGCAAACTTTGCAAAGGCTTGTTATTTGTCAAAACCATGTTAGCTAAAAATGGAATGACTGAATTTACCCTGGAAAAAGAAGTAATTGCTACATGAGCTCCAGGGTTAGGACTTGTGTCTAAAGTACTGCTAAAAGCCTCATAAATGAATGTCTGCTTCAATGAAGCCCTGATCAGGGTCCTCTCCTAACACCCACAGCCCTTTCTCAGATATGGACATGTGCTCAAACTTCTGTCTGGATTCTTAAAGCTTTTGAAAATCAAACAATTGGCTCAGCGTGGTTTCAGTCAATACAGACTGATGGTATGGTAGTGTGAAATTTCCTTTCCAAAACTGTTGGAGTGATTCAGATTCTGGCCTGTCAGACTAGAGTAAATTTATATTGCTGGAGCTTGTCTACATTTCAATCACTTCACTGAGGAGCAAAGTCAGGTCAAGCAGGACTGTTGTATGTTAATGAGATTTACACTTGGAGCAGCTTTTGTTTAGAGAGAGGTTTTAACAGTCCCAAGGCACCAGGCTGGAATGGCTCTCGGGGGGATTGTGGAAACCTTTACACTTTAACTAATTTGTTCTTCTCAGCATCTGCTTTTCACTTTAAAAAAATAATCAAGAAAAAGACTGCTTCCTGGAAATTGGGTAGGCATTGTCTATTCACAGGAGAATGATGGCAAAATGGAAAACACCTTCTGGAGCAAACAGATAAATTAAACAGTAGTATTTGAGCAAATAATGTGCCTCCAGTTTAATTACAGCTGAACAATGGTGCGGATCACTTGATTTCAGCAGCACACTGACTTCAGTGAGGGCTTTGTGGTTTAAAATACTCTATTTGCAAGTTCTTCAGAACACAGGCCAGTATAGGAGAGTGTGAATGTGCAACGCACAGCCTGTCATGAAGTGAAATTATAAGGAACTATTGCAGAGAAGAATTGACAGCCCATTATAATTGCGTAGCTTTCACTCCACCCTACCCTTCTCCTGTCTTGACTTATCTTTCTACATTGGATCTTGCCAATTCCTTTTTGAGAGAAAGAAAGGCAAAACACAGCTTTCATCTTACCCCTCCAACTTCCTTCACGTTTCAGGGACTGAAGACTTTTGATTTTTGTCTTTCTTCTAACTCTCAACTTAATTTGGTGACCCCACATTATCCAGTCTCCTGATCTCTCTGATCCTTTTCCTCTGACTATTCCCCCTTGTATAAAGATTCCATAGTCTCACTATAAAGTAAATAAACCCGCCTGCTTGCTTCTACTGCTGTCATTCATCCTTTCAGCTCCCAGCTCCCTGAATCCACTGACTGTAAGATTGCCTGGAGTCCCTCCCTTATTCTTGAGTTTGACTTCACCTTTTGACAGTCTACCAAAACTACTCTTGTCCCAGCTTTTACCAACCTTTTCTTAGGCACAGCCATAACAACTGAAGTCTGCTGTCTTCTGATGTATGTCATTGGTGTTCAAAGCAATCAGCTGTTCCCTTCTTCTTAAAAACATCTCCCACCTCACTCCCATGTTTCTTGTCTCCTGGTCATTCAGCCTCCAGTGCTTCTAAAGAGAATTCTCCTCCCTCCTC